GCTGGCCCCATATGCTGGAGGTGGCGGGTTCAAACCCAGCCCCGGCCAAAAACTGCAAAAAAAAAAAAAAAAAAAAAAGAGGGGCAGGGGAGAGAAAAACTTATTTATGTTCCAGAGCAGGCGTCCTCAAACTACCACCCACAGGCCACATGCGGCCCTCCTAGGACATTTATCCGGCCTGCCGGGTGTTTTTGCTGCCGCTGCCTGTCCTGCTTAGCAGCCGAATCATCCCAGGGCCCGCAGCACGGCCCTCCAACGGTCTGAGGGACAGTGAACTGGCCCCCTGTTTAAAAAGTTTGAGGACCCCTGTTCCAGTGGGTATATTTCAATTATTTCTTTTACTATACACAAAAACTGTATTTTAGATTTGCTTCTGAAATTTTTTATTGCATACTAATAAAACAGTAATTGATTTGGGGGGTTTTTTTCTTTATAACATGGAAGGGGAGGAAAAAGACACCTTAGTGATATGGTATAAAAATTTTCCCAAAATCACACAATAGCTAAGAAAATGCCGTGAAGGCTATGTTAACCAGTTTGATGAAAACATTTCGAATTGTATATAAAACCAGCACATTGTCCCCCATGACTGCATTAATGTCCACAGCTATGATTTAATAAAAAAAATTTTTCCCCCCAAAAAACTTTCAAAAACAGTTTTGAAATAAATTACTGTTTTTAGATAGGAAAAGTTAATTGCTAAGATGATATAAAAGCAAAACGGTTAATATGTATTATATATGTATAACTATGAACAAAATGAGTATTACTTACATTAACATTCTAAACCTTTAAAGTGCCCTTTTAGCATCTTTTTAATTAAAGACATTGTTTTATAAATCAAATATTTAGCAAGGACATAAAGTCTGCTGGACTCACTGCCTTCCTGGGTAACTTAGGGTATTATCTTGGTTGACTACATCTTGGGATCCCAGCAAAGCTAGTACCAATAATCTGACCTTACTTACCTTGGCTCCGATCTGGTTGCCGCACTGGCCAATCTGAATGTGGACAATTTCACGCATCTTTGCTTTAAGCCCAGGTGTAAGATCTCAGAGTCCTCAGTCTTTGGGAGAGTCTGGTTCACTGGTGTGAGCCCAGCAGAGCTTTGGTCACTGTGGTGGTGGGACCCACTGACCAAGCTACCCTCCCAATGTGACCCAGGGGTGTGTCCATCCCAGAAGCTCAGCCCCCTCTGTGCCCCCACCCTGGGCAAGCCCAGGGCCTTTTGCTTTCTGCCTGTCATGCTTTTGGAAGGGGGTGTCTTTCCTCCCCAACACAGAATATTGCCTAGTCATTTCCTAGAGGGCGAGCACAAGACCAAAGTCTGCCTTGTGTGTGGGGGGCCTGAGGACCAGCACTGTTTACAACAGCTGGTTCTGATGCCCACGATGGCTGACTTTGGCTCTCCTGGGTGACCAGACCGCCCGCAAGGGCTTTCCCTGTCCAGGGAATCATTTTGTCTAACCTGAACACATGGCCCAAAAGAAAGTTTCCTTTTTGAACATAGCCAGAGTGGTGAAGGTAACATGTGAGTCTTAGGAGTTTGGAAAACTGCAATTAAGAAAGCCCAAACTCCACGCTTGACATGCAGGCTTTCCCAGCCTGGCCCCAGACCTCCTTCCCAGCCGACAGCCCAGTGCTGGGACAGAATGGGAGGAGCCGCCCTGGACCACTGCAGGCCCTGGGCTGTGCCACTCTCTCCTCCCTCACCCTGTCAGGGCCTGGCTGCCCCTCAGCCTCTCCCAGCTCCCACTGTTGCCCCCTCACTCTTATCCTGGTGCCTAGAGGGTTACTGCCTTCCATAAGGTCCCCTTTGCCAGATCCAGAATTCTCTAAGAGCCCAGCATTGAGTGAGGGGCTGCCCAATAGGTGCGCAGAGATTCAAAGTTGGTTCCTCTGCCTCCTGGGTCTCAGCACACCCTCTGAGCGGCCAGCAAACAAGTCTGAAGCCTCAGGTGTTGCTACTTCTGACCAAGCAAGCAGGCTAGCAGCAGAGAGCACAGCTGCCGGCAGACACTGGCTCCACATCTCTGCCGGCAGGACGACAGTGTGGAATATTGGCTTCCCCAAAAGAGAGGACACAGGGCCCCCATGAAGGCATGAGAGTACTGGATGGGAAGGAGGAGAGCTGACAAGGGCTGCCTGGTGCCCTGGAGCACAGATGGGCAGTCCGGGGCGAGGTCTCACTCCTGAAGCCTCAGGAACTTGGGCAGCCACCACCCTGTGAGCACTCACAGCTGACCCCCTGCCAGGCACCCAGAGCTGACCCCCTTCACATATGCTGGGCTCACCTCCAGAGCTGGGCGACAGAAACAGATCCAGTGTGCTTGGGATGCTCTTGATCTGACTTATTTAGAAAAAGAGAGAGGCCCTTCCAGCTCTGGAGCAACTCAGGGACACCATCCGACAGGAAGGAGACAAAAAGGCAGGACTGACCTGAACTCAGAGCCAGACCAGTGACCTTGGCTAAGACACTAGAGCCAAACCTTTAAGCTCTAGTTCCCCACTGGTCCATGTGGGGACTCCAGTGCCACCTCCTAAACCCTGTGTTCTTTCTACAGGCCCAGTTGGGGACCAAGATGAGGTCAGGAACACAAGCAGAAAAGTAACTAGCAATGGGATGTCCCAGGGAAACACGGTAGCCTCTGCCTACTCCCAGGGGAGTTCAAACACAAAGTCAAAGGCCTGCACATGAACCAGAAGAGAAACCCAGACAAGAGGAAGAACTTTGTTCCTAGTTCTCCAGACTGACCTCAAGTGCTAAGTGCCCCCATGATCCTGGGCCAGACCTAGGGCCAGGGAAAGGTTTCCTGTCATATAAAGGATGTTATTAGGGCAATAATAAAGATTCAAATAAAGACCATGCCTATGGGACACTAATACTATAACCATGTTCTATTTCCTGACTTGGATCATGGCACAGTGGCTGGTAAGGGGGAGTCTTTGTTGTCAGAGGGGGAGACTATGCCATGAAGTCCTGCACTTCAAGGTCAAGTTGTGATGACCACAGCAACTCACTCAGAAACTGTTCAGCAACCACAATAACGGGATGAATATAGAGAGAGCAGTTAAGTGGCAAAAAGCTAACAAGTGGTGACTCTCTTCAAAGTTAGTGCAAGATTGGTACTCTTATGATGTTTCTGTAAGTTTGGAATTTTCTAAACACGGGTCATAGATGCTTCTGGTCCAAACACCTCCCCCAACCTGTCCAAAGGCAAAGAGGAGAATGTGTAAATTCAAGCGGAAGATATTTTTATGCGTTGAGGAATATTTTTCACAAATTAAAAACCGCACACAGAACAACCCCATCTCCAGGGCTTTCAGCCTCCCTCTGGGCTCACCCTGGTCTCTTTCCCTCTTCCCTCTGCCCCACCCCTAACTCCCCTTGCTTAACAGACCCCTCCAAAGCTCAAAGACAGCTCCATGTTCTTCCTGCGGGCAGCTCCCTGCCAGAGACACCCCCACTGCCTAGGAGCAGAGCACTTAGGCCTGCAGTTAGCATATGTGGTCCTGTTTGCTAATTACTTACACACACACCTTATCACCCCCACCGGGCCCAGAGCTGCCAGTGTCATCTCACCTTTGAGTCTCCAAAGTGCCTGATACATCACAGGGCCTTAGTAAATATTTATTAAGTGCACGCCTACGGCTGGGCAATTGAAGCAGTGATGCTCAGGATGGCAAGTTTCTTTCAGCCAATATAATGTATTTATTCACAAGTGTGTCCTTCTAATGATGGGAAGGGAACATGGTGCCCAAGGACTTTTTCCTCCATTCTCTAAGAGGTGGTCTTCTTAGGTAGGCTGAAAGTATAAACTGTTCCAAGAAACCTGGGCGATGGGAATAGATGGTGGCTGGCATCACCACAGTGAGCTATTCCGGGAAGCCGTGGCCGGTGGGCAGCCTTGGCCCTCCACGGCGAGCTTCTGAAAGGGGCTCCTGTCAGCCTCAAACTGCCTCACTGCAAGGACCGTGAGGCTGAGCCAGGGGGGCATTTTTGATCTTCCTGTGTTCATTCTTTGCTATATGAGCAGGATCCAGTGTGTGGGGGTCTCCCTTGCCCCACAACCTCCACCCTGGAGCACATTCCTCTCGGTCATCTCAGTTTGCTTAGGGACGGGAAGGAGCCAGATTTCCAGATGGATGCTTAAAAGGTTTTTCTGTTAATGGGGCAGTTGGCAAAAAGGGGGGAGGAAAGAGAAGGCCTGTTTGCTTTGATTCCTGTATTTGCCGGCTGTGTTTACTTAGCCTTGCGGGTGCGGAGCTTGGACGCTCAGCTGTGAGAGGGTGAGGGCAGGGGCTGAGGGGGCCATCTCTTCCCTAAACCTGGATTTCTTCTTCTGCAAAAACCGAGTAACAGTTCCCACGGTGCAAACGTACTCTGTGGAACGTGAGCAGATGTGGCTGTCTGCATAGACGGGCCCATTTGTAGGGAGCACCTGCTGTGTTGGGCACAGAAGGGCCGTCTGAATCTGAAGTGTCTGGGCAGAACAGAGTGGTGAGGGGAGCAGTAGGTCTCAGAAGCAATCTGTCCTGTCCTTACTCTTGTGTCTTTCTTTAAACTTTTTTTTTAAATTTTTTATTTTTTGACTTTATTAGCCAATCTGTGGTCATCTTTGAATTTCTTATTCATGTCTATTATGTTTTTTTAAGACATTTATATTCTTAATGTTTCACATGTACCCTAGTAAGATGCACCATAGGTGTGGTCCCACCAATTACCCTCCCTCCACCCATCCTCCCCCCTCCCCTCCCCTCCCTCTCCCCTTTCCCCATATTCTTGGGCTATAACTGGGTTATACCTTTCATATGAAAGTTTAAATTGGTTTCATAGTAGGGCTGAGTACATTGGATACTTTTTCTTCCATTCTTGAGATACTTTGCTAAGAAAAATATGTTCCAGCTCCATCCATGTAAACATGAAGGAGGTAAAGTCTCCATCTTTCTTTAAGGCTGCATAACATTCCATGGTATACATATACCACAATTTATTGATCCATTCAGGGGTCGATGGGCAATTGGGCTTCTTCCATGACTTAGCAATTACGAATTGGGCTGCAATAAAGATTCTGGTACAAATATCTTTGTTATAGTGTGATTTTTGGTCTTCTGGATATATACCTAGTAGAGGAAATGTTGGATCGAATGGCAGGTGTATTTTTAGATCTCTAAGTGTTCTCCAAACATCTTTCCAAAAGGAACATATTAGTTTGCATTCCCACTAGCAGTATAGAAGTGTTCCCTTTTCTCCACATCCACGCCAGCATCTCTGTTTTTGGGATTTGGTGATATGGGCTGGAGTCAGATGATATCTCAAAGTAGTTTTGATTTGCATTTCTCTGATGATTAAGGATGATGAGAATTTTTTCATATGTCTGTAGGCCATGCTCCTGTCTTCTTGAGAGAATTTTCTCTTCAAGTCCCTTGCCCACCCCGAGATGGGATCACTTGTTCTTTTCTTGCTAATAACGTTTGAGTTCTCTGTGGATTCTGGTTATTAAACCTTTGTCAGAAACATAACCTGCAAATATCTTCTCCCACTCTGACGGCTATCTACTTGCTTTACTTACTGTGTTTCTGGCTGTGCAGAAGCTTTTTAGTTTGATCAGGTCCCAGTAGTATATTTTTGATGTTGCTTCAATTGCCTAGGGGATCTTCCTCATAAAATATTCACCCAGGCCAATTTCTTCAAGAGTTTTCCCTGCACTTTCTTCTAGTTGTTTTATAGTTTCATGTCTTAAGTTTAAATTTTTAATCCAGTGAGAGTTTATCTTAGTAATGGTGAAAGATGGGAGTCCAGTTTCAGTCTTCTACAGCTCCCCAGCCAGTTTACCCAGCACCACTTGTTAAATAGGGAATCTTTTCCCCACAGAATGTTTTTAATTGGTTTGTCAAAGATCAAATAACAGTAAGTAGCTGGGTTCATCTCTTGATTTTCTATTCTGTTCCATACATCTACCTCTCTGTTTTTGTGCCAGTACCATGTTGTTTTGATCACTATCGATTTATAGTATAGTCTGAG